TTTCTATCATTTTGAATAAATTAAATAGTATTGGATATAAATCTTCTTTAAATCTCTGGTAGAATTCTGCTGTAAATCCATCTGGTCCTGGGCTTTTTTTAGTCGGGAAGTTTTGTATTGCTGTTTCAATTTCCTTATATGTTATGGGTCTGTTTATGCTATTGATCTTGTCTTGGTTTAGTTTTGGTGGTTCCCATGGTTTTAGAAGCCTGTCCATTTCTTTTAGGTTTTAAAATTTAGTAGCTTATAGGTTTTTAAAGTATTCCCCTATAATGTTCTGGATCTTTTTGGTGTCTGTTGTGATGTTTCCCCTTTCATCTCTGATTTTGTTGATTTGGAGGTGCTCTTTCTTTCTTTTGGTTAACTGGGCTAGTGGTCTGTCAATCTTATCTTTTCAAAGAACCAGCTCTTGCATTCACTGATTTTTTTTGTATTTTTTTTTGTTTCTATTTTGTTAATTTCTGCTCTGATTTTTGTTATTTCTTCTTGTCTGCTGGGTTAGGGTCTTGTTTGTTGTTGCTTTCCGAGTGTCTTGAGTTGCAATGTTAAGTCTTTGTGTTCTGATTTTTTAATGTAGACACTTAAAGCTATAAACTTTCCTCTAAGGACTTCTTTCAACGTGTCCCAGAGGTTTTTTGTTGTGTTGTATTGTCCTTTTCATTTAGTTCCAGGAACACTTTTATTTCTTTTCTTAATTTCTCCTTTGACCCATTAATGATTCAGGAGTGTGTTGTTTAATCTCCATGTGTTCATGTGGTTACTAGCATTTCTTCTGGTGTTGATTTTAAGCTTTATTGCATTGTGGTCTGATAGAATGCATGGAATTATTCAATCTTTTTGTTTTGTTGAGGCTGGTTTTGTGCCCCAGTATGTGGTTGATTTTGGAGAAAGTTCCATGGGGCACTGAACAGAAAGTATATTCTTTGGTGCTTGGGTGGAATAGTCAGTTGATGTCTGTTAGCTCCATTTGATGTATGGTATCATTTAATTTAGATGTCCCTCTGTTTCTTCTTGGTCCTGTTGACCTGTCTAATGGAGACAATGGAGTATTGAAGTCCCCTACTATTAATGAGCTGGGGTTAATCTGGGCCTTAAAGTCCTGTAGTACTGTTTTTATGAAGTTGGGTGCACCAAAATTTGGTGAATATGTGTTCGTTATTGTAATATCTTCTTGGTCTATTGTTCTTTTGATCAGAATGAAGTGGCCGTCTTTATTTCTTCTGATTAGTTTTAGTTTGAAGT